TCTTATATTTAGTGTGGTATTCTTGAATAGTGCCTCGGCAAGTGCTTTTCCTGCCGATTCTCCGATATTATTCCAACTCATATCTAACTCAGTCAGTGTGGTATTCTTGCATAGTGCATCGGCTAGTGCTTTTCCCACCGATTCTCCTAAATTATTATCCCATAAATTCAAACTAGTCAGTGTTGTATTCTTGCATAGTGCATCGGCTAGTGCTTTTCCTGCCGATTCTCCTATTTTATTTCCACTTATATCTAAATTAGTCAGTGTGGTATTCTTGCATAGTGCATCGGCTAGTTCTTTTCCTGCCATTTCTCCTATACTATTCCATCTCATATTTAATACAGTCAGTGTGGTATTCTTGCATAGTGTCTTGGCAAGTGCTTTTCCTGCCGATTCTCCTAAATTATTTCCCCATAAATTCAAATTAGTCAGTGTGGTATTCTTACATAGTACCTCGGCCATTGCTTTCCCTGCCGATTCTCCTAAACTATTATATCTTAGATTCAAATTAGTCAGTGCGGTATTCTTGTATAGTGCCTCGGCTAGTGCTTTTCCTGCCGATTTTCCTATTTTGTTGTGACTTATATCTAAATTAGTTAATGTCTTATTCTTGCGCAGTGCCTCGGCTAGTGCTTTTCCTGCTAATTTACCTATTTCGTTGTGACTTATATCTAAATTAGTTAATGTGATATTTTTGCACAGTGCCTCGGCTAGTGCTTTTCCTGCCGATTCTCTTATTTCGTTGTGACTTACATCTAAATTAGTTAGTGAGGTATTCTTGCACAGTGCCTCGGCTAGTGCTTTTCCTGCCGACTCTCCTATTTTGTTGTAACTTATATCTAAATTAGTCAGTGTGGTATTATTACATAGTGCCTTGGCAAGTGCTTTTCCTGCCGATTCTCCTAAATTATTTTTCCTTATGTCTAAATTAGTCAGTACGGTATTCTCGCATAGGGCCCGGGCTAGTGATTTTCCTGCCAATTCTCCTAAATTATTATATCTTAGATTCAAATTTGTCAGTGTGGTATTCTTGCATAATACTTCGACTAATACTTTTCCTGCTGATTCTCCTATCTCGTTGAGACTTATATCTAAATTAATCAATGTAGTGTTATTGCATAGTGCTTCGGCCAGTGCTTTTACTACTGATTCTTCTATTTTTTGACCAGAAAAACATAACTTGTTTTTATAGTTTAATAACAACTCTGCTTTCTTTGAATCGATTAATAATAATTTTTTCCAGCAAGAAAGTAACGATACAGAAACTTCTAACTCATAATAAGCTTTTCCTAAAACTAATAATGTATCTGGATTATCCGGTTCTATCAAATCTGCTTGTTTGTAATAGGTTAACGATTCTTTATATTGTTCAAGTAAAAAGTAAATGTTTCCACATGTCATTAATGCTAATACATTATTTGTTTCGATCATTAAAACCTCCTCAATATCTTTTAGAGCTTTCTGGAATTTACCAAAATGTTGATAAATTTGACTCCTATTTATGTATGCTAATAGCTTTTTAGGTTTTAATCCTATTGCGCTTGAGTAATCTTCAAGCGCCTTTGAATAAAGTTTAAGTTTTTCAGAGTGATTTGCTCTTTTGCATCTAATTGAATAGCTACGAGGATAGCTTTCTAGTGCACGCGTATACCACATTATTGCTTCTAAATGGTTGTCTTGTTGCTCAGCTACAATTGCTTTACGATATATTGGATCTAAATTCTTTGGTCGTATTTTGTTAAATAATTTTTTTTTTAATCTATTCAATCCGGGCATTCCAAAAGGGTGTAACTTATTTAATTTTAAGAATGTTTCATCTTTAAATTCATGCCTGCAATTTGATGGTGTATGATTTAATTCATATGAGGTATCAAAATAGCCTGCTTCTTCTAGCCGTTTATAAAGACCCTTGAAGGTAGCACTTTGAGGAAGGTTAAATATAGATTCCTGGTTTATCAAAGTTCGACATATCGGGCATTCAAATTCTCGGTTTTCAATTTGCAAGATTGATTTCCATTCATCAACCGCAAATTTGCTAATTGAATGTCCACAACCTAAAATATGTAAATCACCTGTGATTTCGTTCATTATTGGACAAGTTAATTCTTCTGCAATAATATTTAATAATTCCGAATCTCCTTTTCTTCTCTGATTATAAATCATCTTTTCTTTTCCCTTTTTAGATATAATTGGTTCGTTCGCCATCTTGCAAAAATCATTATCAATCTTAATTTTTTGATTCACTTTGCTAATCAACTTATCGAAACTCATTTTATGAACCCCCTTTTGTTTTCTGAAAGACTCTATTTCAGCTTGAATTATTTCATCGAATCGTTCCGATTTTTTGTACGATAGGTTAAATAATAATTCCAAAGCTTTATACTTTATAAAATTACTATGAAAATTTTGTAAAGACTCGATGCCTATATAATAACATAAGGCCAGAATTATTTCCTGTGAAGTTTTGTTGCTGATATCTTGCGCTAGATCTAGTACCCCAAATAATAATAAATTTGGTAAAGAAATCGGCTTGTTGCTACTGATTATGTTGATAAATCCATATTTATCATTCAAAATGTCGTAACCATCTTGTAATGATTTAGAATATTCGTCAAATACGTATTGCCAAATAATTTCTAAAAGCATTATTTCTCCATTTTCACATAATATTTTGTGACTTTCCTCTTCAGCTAATGTTACTAAGATATTATTAATCGTCAGTAGTTCACGCCAAGTTATATACCAATTGGAAATAGAATATGAGAAAGATGATCTTTCTTCTTCAGGTCCATGTATATTTGGGGTTATGATTCCAGGAATAATTTTTGCTAGGAATTGTTGTGCTAATCTAACGAATTTTGAAGAAGGATATATCTCGTTTCTTATGTTATGCAAAGTATCTCTTATATGAATAAGAAGAAAATTAATATTATAATTTATGTACGTATTGGTTAAATTAGTACTGCTATATAATATATCATAATGAATCTCTGCAAATATTACTAGTCCGTTGCATAGCTCTTCTCGAAATTTCGTTCCAATTTTAATTTCAGAGTAATATATTCTTTCTAAAATCGCGATGTAAGTTCGAAGATGCAATTCCATAAGAGAACTTGTTCTTTCATTATAGAGCTTTCTAAATGAGGACATATCCGATAGTTTCTCTAGAACCATCTCTAACACTTCTGATGAAATCTTTGAATTATAATTTTCTGCCAAAGCTTTGAGGCTACTTAAATTTAAAGGATTGCTTAAATCTGAAATAAAACTACGTGCTTTTGCATCATAGAATTCTTTAAGGTTTCATAGTTATCAGTGTAAAATTATTAACATGTAAAAAAAGTTTTTTGATTAATAAAATGAACATTAATAAATACCCATTAAATTTATTCCTTTCGTCCATTTGATTACACGATTCCGACCCTGTCTTTTCGCCTCATGCAATGCTTCATCGGCGATTTCAAATAATTCTTCTGAAGATTTTATTGAAGAGTTTAATTCTGCAATCCCAAGACTGAGTGTAACTTTTAATTTCATTCCTTTGTAAATAAATGAATGCGCTTCAACCAAGACTCTAACCATTTCTGCAATCTCAAATGCCGAATTAACACTAGTATTCCTAAGAAGAATACTAAATTCGTCTCCGCCATGACGTACAAAAATATCTTCAGGACGAATAGAAGCTTTAATCAAAGTAGTTAACTCGCTCAAAACATAATCTCCTGTTTCATAACTATTTTCGTCATTTATTTTTTTAAAGTAATCTATGTCTAAAAATATAAAGCTTGAATGTAAATTCTTTTTAACTGTATTATTGATTTCGTCTTCTAATATTTTTTTTAAATAACTAATATTATAAATTGGCAGTTTACAATCAAACCGATTTTTGTATTCGTCAATGGGTAAATACTGCATTACTGTGTTTCCCATTTTAATCAAATCTTCTTTTACTAAAGTATTGGTGGCATAATGTTGAAGTTTATGATCATTAATAAATACTCCGGATAGTGAGCCCAAATCCTTTATAGAAACTTTTCCGTTGCAGTGCGTAATCTTTGCATGTTTCCTAGAGACTTCTTGATCTTTTATGATAATGTGATTTGAAGAATCTCTTCCAAAGTATATTTCAAATTGATTAAGAAAAAATTCCTGACTTCGAGGTGATCCATTAATAACTGTTAAGCAGGCCCATTCTTTTTCTGTTGACTTTAAATTATCTCCGGAGTAAACTTCTGAAATGTAGTCAGAATTTTTATATACATGTCTATAGTTAATATACTTAAGATATTGATCTGCCTCCTCAATTAATAATCGTTTTTCGGGAATTTCATTCCATGCATCGCAGTAAATATCCTTATAATCTACTGGTGTCCCGTCTATAGGATTTTCCCTAGCTCCATATATAAGCCTATTCTTTAAAACTGTACTTTCGCATCTGGACATATTTTTAAATGGAGAAATTCCGCTAGATATTTCCCATAATAGAACTCCAAGACTATAAATATCTAATGGTTTATCTTTTTTATAATTAATTGGCGATATAAGGAGCTGTGGATCAACGTAAACAATCATCTCAGGATCACAATATCCTTCAAGAATTTCAAGAGATTTGTACGATCTTTCAAGAGATATAGAGAATTCAAACCCCGTAATGATTGACTTATTATCGTATACCATGATGTTTTTAGAGTTCTATTGAAATCAATAGTTAGTAATAATGATTCAACTTTCTATACACAATTAACAGATATTTACCAAATTACAATGAACAATATTTGCATGGTGAATATAATTTAAGCCATTGGTGATATCTTTCGCCAATTTTATTTTAGTAGGCCAACTTAATTCAATAAACCTTTTCTGCAAATGTGTTCTAAGATCTTGACCATATACATGTTGAAGTATCATGTAGTAGTACTTCAGCGAGGGATCTAAATAATTGATTTAATGTGAACTTAAGCTATCATTATAAAATACAAAATCGAATTACCGAAAATTAATTAAATGATGATACCTTTACTGATTCCCCAAAATTTGATTATATTTTCATTATTGGTAACGTTTAATTTGGTTAAAATTTGTACCTGTTTTAGCAATTATCAAAATTAATTTTCTGTATAACTAAAAGAAGTCTATAATAATATAGGGAATACCTCTCTGATAAAATTTTTGTAATATTCATCTTCACTGTTATGACTGAAATCCTTTAAATACTTAAGAGCAACGTTCCTATTAAATTCAATTTGGTAAGCCTTTTTGATTTCGCTTAATGGTTTAATCGAACAAGGCTCGATTTTTTTAAGTGAATCATAATTAAATTCTATTATGTGCCCATTACTAATAGCATTATTAAGCCATTTTGAGGGCGAGTCCATTTTTTATTAAGTTTAGAGAACTCGTAATATACCGGCTATCTTGATTGTATGATGTGCAGTATAAATGGTAATACTGCACGAAGTTATAACTACGCAGATGTAATTGGATTTAAATGCAGTATAGGTGATACCATCAATGAATCAGTTAATTTTACAATACTGTAGTGTCACCTATACTACAGCAACCTATATTATGACACCAATTTTCCAAGTACTAAAACCCTGACATAATTCAATGACCAATCAAAAAATTTGTGAATACGGTGTGTTTTTTAAAATAAAGTATAAGTATACTTATTAGAATTTTTACTAATTAATGAATATTAATTTTAATTAATTAAAAATTTTGTTTTACAAATAACGTGATTTATAATTTTTCGAAGCAAAGCGTAGGACTATATACTTCTACGTCAAATGGATGCAATGTCTGTTTGTCTGTCCCGCCTGATCGATAAATGATATTTTGTACACGTGATTTATATTACGGTTACTGTATTCTTAATAATAATAGTAATTAATGAATCGGAAGTAAATTTTTAATTAGTCGGAAATCAAACAAATAAATATATGAATCAAGGGTGTTACTATTTCGATGGGAAAATTAGTTAAATACCTCTTTCTCCAAAAAGTTATCCAATAATTATTACGGTACTAAAATTTCACTCAACAATGCAAAAGTGACTGTACGGAAAACATCTTAATTTTAATAAAATCTATTATATAAATAATAACTCCTGTAATGCTTCGGACTAAAATGGTTTCCGTTCCCTATTTTATTAATAATGATGATGGCAAACTATTAAAATTCTTTCGCATATATAGGAATATAAAAAATAACAAAATAAATTTTTTATGATTTTCTATAAAAAAAATTTGATTTTTAAGAATTTTTATAACCTTTTAAATTATATAAATAATATACTGTATATTATTATTATTATTGGTTGTTTATATTACGAATTTAAAATAAAGTTTAAATATTTATATTATTGCGAAAATTTATTACAATTATTATTTGTTATTGATATTTACTGTATAAAATAGATATAATAAACTAAACAACTTAAAATAATACTTCTTACTATAGTTAGTAATACTATTTTTTATTATTTGTTTTTATTTTACTGCAAATAAATATTAAATATTAGATTTTATTTAAACAAATATATTTCTTGTTATTATATTAATTATTTTATATATTAGAAATATTGTAAAAGAATTGGAAAAATTATATAGTGGAGATATAATTCTGAAAATCAGACATATGTAAGATTCAGAACACTATTAAAATTATGGAAAAGTATAACTCACATATTAAATTTAATATAAACCTGAGAATCAAAATCAAATCAAATCAAATTATTAGAATCTTTAAGAGTATATAACATTTTCATTCAATTAGAATATAATTTGAATTTGAAGAATTTTTAAAATTTTCTTATATATATATAAAAAAAAAATAAATATGTTGAAATAAAATAGAAAAATAAAAACTTTTTAAATGAATACTTAGTTCAATATCTAACACTTTTACTTACCTTATGTCATATTCACATGTTTCTATTTAATATTATATAATTGATAATTGTAATGTAATAACAGACTTGTTAATTATACTTCTAACAATATACAAATTAATTATAATTATTGATATCAACTTATATTATTTAAATAAATTCATATTAATAATAATTCAAAATAATTTATATTTATTATAAAAAATTAAATTATTATAATAATAATTTTGTTAATATAATATATTTTTAAAATATTTTTTGATTAATAAAATTATTAATATTTTTTTAATAAAAACTTATTAATAATATTTTAATTTAAATAATTATTATAAATACTTTAATTTAAAAAACTATTAGAATATTGTATTTCTTACAAATATATTTAAAATAATTTGATAATTATTGAATTAAATTGTTAAATTTTAATTAAGTATAAATATTTATTGTTAATTTAAATAAAAATATAATTTATTTAAACCTATAGATCTATAGCTTAGTGATAAAGCTCTATAGATTACCAGATGAAGATCTAGAGTTCAAATCACTTGGTTACAAAAATTTACCACAAATCCTTTCTAATTAAGCTATATAAAAATAGGACTTCTAACTTTTCTAATAATCATAAGGTTGCAACAGATTATATAAGAAAAGGATTGCATAAAGAAAAGCTTCTGGTCTAATTCCAGTTAACCTCACAGCAAGTTAAATAAAAACATTATATCAAAAATTTGAATATACAGACAAGACTGTACTTCATTTTAACCAATCCTATTTATTTATATAAAAATTAATCCTAGTTGATCAAGATTACATGAAAGAAGATAAACAGGATATCTTGGATTAATTATTTCAAAAAAGATTATTATGCATTTACACAACCCTATAACCTGTTAGAAATTGGTGCAATCTGGATTAATAATTTATTGGGAAAGAATAGAACTATTAAGCTAAAATGGAAACTGCTAGAAAGGTTTTCACTTGTAAAGATAAGATTTTTCTTACCCTTGTTACTAATAGAGTTAATCAAATTAAGGTGTTAATAAGATAGGTCACTTCAAAAGTATAATCTGTTTCATTGGATATGAATTAATAGGTAGATTGCTAATATTAAGTTATATGTAATATAAATGATATTTTATATAATATTAATATCAATATATATCAATAAAGATAGCATCTAATATAATTTACTATAACTAGGAAATGGAAACCATTGTAAGTCTGAAGTTAATAATCAAAAAAACCATGTATTACACAAGCATGACAGACAAAATTCACACGTGACCTTTATTTTTATTAAGGATCGTAAACATAGAATGTCCTTCGCTTTGCTTCGGACAAAAAATATATATACAGTGTATAACAAAACTTTTTGGAATTTTATTTATATGACAAAAATATAAATAAAATTTTTAAAACAAAAGCAATTCATATGAAATTTTAAACATATAAACAATATATCTTAAAATATATATATATCATTAAATTTTTAACCTGTTTTATTTTTTTTATAAACTTATTCTTACAATATTATTTTTTGAAAAATATACACAACATCAAACTATATTATATTTATAGAAAAATAGAATTACTTCTGCAAATGAAATATATTCTAAAACTGATATAACTATATCAACTATTTACTATAATCTTAAAAATCAAATTTCAAAGGAAATAATTCAAGAAAATCTGATGGAGATCAACCTAAAAGATTATTACACATGAATCAAAAGCAATTAGTTAATATTTATACCATACTCTAAGATTTTCCACAAGAGCTTTGATAATTAAATTGTTAAATATAGATACTAAAGTATCTTATATGACAATTTCAAAATATTTAATAAGCTTGAGTTATAAAAATAATCTATTTTTGAAAACTCTTATACTTACTACTGCTTATAAAGAAGCTTGTATTATTTGAACAAAGAAATATCTTGATCATAATTGAAAAAAAACTTTATTTTCTGATAAAACAGCATTTTAACTATTTAGAAATACAATTATTTAATAATATAAAAATACAATACTAGTCAAAAGAATACCTAAAGATCATATCAAAAGTTTTACATAAAAAAAATTTTGTATAAAAGAAAAAACTTCTCTTTTTTATTTTAAAGAAATTAT